CCCCGATCTTTTATCGAAATTGAAGGCATTTCCCAGTATTTATCCTGGCGTTTCAAAGGTCCTTGAAATTTTGCGATCATCCTGGTTAAAATTGTTAATTTTAGATATGCATATTTTGTCATAACTACTGTAGACTTCGTTAGTGTTAAGTACTCAATTTAAAAATGACTATTTTTAAGGAAATAGTGACTTTAGTGACTTTTTGGTGTGAAAAGTGACTTTTTAGTGACTGACTTCAAAATAGTGACAAAGTCACTAAAAACTGACCTGCTACCAGCCTTTTGAAGGTTGCCTGACATGTGTTGTTGTAGAAGTCCAAATTGTAGACGAAGCTTGACGAAGATCAACATGAACTAGTCCGGTTTATGGTAATTGCGCGGAATGTCTTCCGTCGATTTGAGATAAACAAATGTTCGGATGTATGTAGTCGATTTTTGATGTGCATTGCCAAGCCTTTTCGTGGCCAATAGTCAGGTTCAACGCTGCGACTCAACGAATGATGGAACTAATGATGGGACGAATGATGGGACGCCTCGTGGAGGTTCTACTTGGCTTCGGATTAGCTTCTCAGCGGCAAATAATAGGGACTGAGGAACTAGAAATTGTCTCCTGGGCCTGGTTTTGGCCAGATCAGCAACCGATTATAGATCGTAAGTATTTCATGAAAATTATAAGTAGAAATAAAGGTGAGTTTTAAGGTAGTTCTGAAGCAACTATTATGAAGAAAATTATTATTGTAACTCCAGGAATCTCTGATGCAAATCGAAAGAAATTCCAGGGAGCATTCTAAGGGAATTCGGAGCCTCTTTCCTTCAAAGTGAATTGACTCTACGGCAAACTTACATGACTACAATCCTGAAACTACGCCCAACGATCACCGTCGGCGGAAAATCTCTTAAATGTTGATTAATCAATCAATCGAAGATACATTTGGAAATATGGATAATACTTTCCTTACCAATCAGGTTAAGGCCTTGTTGTCCTCTGCTGTCCGAAGAAGTCGTCTCCACTCTACTCGATCTATGGCCACACTTCGTCAGCCTCGTAGTCTGCGAATGGTCCGCAGGTCGCCTTCCACTTGGTCGAGTCACCTTGCCCGCTGCGCGCCTCTTCTCCTTGTTCCTGTTGGTTCGCTTTCGAGAACCATTTTCACTGGGTCGTCGTGCGGCAGTCTTACGACGTGCCCAGCCCACCATAGTCGCCCAATTTTTGCAATGTGGACGATGGATGGTTCTCCCAGCAGCTGGTACGATTCGTGGTTCATTCGCCTCCTCCACATTATCTCATCCATCTGCACTCTACCGTAGATGGTACGCAACACCTTCTGTTCGAAAACACCACATCCACGAGCATGTCCAGGTCTCTCGGCCGTAGAGGACCACCGGTCTAATAAGCGCCTTGTAGATAGTCATCTTCGTGCGGCGGCGAATTTTATTCGACCGGAGCGTCCTCCGGAGTCCAATTCCGCAACGATTCCCTGCCATAATGCGTCTTTGAATTTCTCTGCTGGTGTCATTTTCGGCGGTCACCAGTGAGCCCAAATACACGAACTCATCGACCACCTCGATTTCGTCACCGTCAATCTGAACTCGCGGAGGGAGGCTAACATAGTCCTCTCATGTATTTAGTCTTCGATGCGTTGATGGCAAGCCCAATCCGCCTAGCTTCAGCCTTCAGTCTGATGTACGTTTCCGCCATCGTCGCAAAGTTCCGTGCCATGATGTCGATGTCAGCGGCGAAGCCAAGAAGCTGGATGGACTTCTTGAAGGTCGTGCCACTCGTGTCTATCCCAGTCTCTTCTGATCACATCTTCTAACGCGACGTTGAATAGCAGATATGGATAATAATTCCAGTAATTCAATGCTAGTGTGAAGGTAGTTTCAAGAGAATTCATACGATATTTGAGGGAATTTCAAGGAGTCTCCGGGAGGGTTTGGCAAGCCATTTTGAGCATATTTCCAAATGAACTATGAGTAGTGCTTCAAGAGAACGTAAAGAAATTTCCAAGGGAATACTGAAGAGAGTTTCAAGAGAATTCGAAGATAATTCCAAGAGATCATCTTAAGGGCATTTTTGAGAATAATTCTGAGGTGAAATCCAAGGAAATTTTGAGATGGTAAAATTCTTCATTTTAAGTGGCATACCAAGAGATTTCCAAGGAATTTTTCAAGCAAAAACCAAAAAAAAAAATATATAGAGAGAAATTAAATAAATGCTCGCGATAATGATTAAGAATGCGAAAATAAATTAAGAGTGAATTTCAAGAGTTTTGTGGAAGGAATACCTAAAGTGTTTTGTACAGATTTCCGAGACTGTAATGGAAAACAACTTACCTGACAAAATCATATTATTATTGAGGGAAATCCTAAAAGTAAAAGTAATTTTGATGACATGCTTGGCATGCACAGTTGTACCACAGACAAACAGACGTAAATCTTTGAAGAAGTATTTATTGAAAACATAGCATCTCAAAACATAGGACCTCAGTAACGACATCCTTCGGGCTTCTTGCGGAAAACAAGCTTGGTCTCTAACTCGCAAACAATATTTCATAAAAGTTCTATAGAATGTATAGAAACGTTAAAGTAATCTGATGCCAGCGCTGCGGCGAGTAGTTCGCGGAACTGATAATATTCAAATCAACCGTTAAATTCGTGAACGAAGATACACAATGAAGAGTTACGTCTGTTTGTCTGTGGTTGTACACACCAATTGCTTATTTATTAATAACTTTTCACTCAGTTGTTGAAATTAGCTTTTCTTTAAAGTAATTGATAGATTAGGATCATAGCATACAGATATGCAAAGAGTAGGAAAATCTTAACATTTGAATCAACACCAATGAATTTTTACTCTTAAAGTCCAAGACAAATACAGTTTATTACTAGAATTGAGATCTACTTTGTTTACGTTTCTATAACAAGCTTAAACTCTATTATATCAACTGCTTCAAACAGAACTATGGGGGCGACCCCGGCGTAGTGGTTAACATCCTTACCTCTCACGCCAAAGTCACGAGTTCAAATCTCACCCCCGGACAAGTCACGAATGACCCAAGAGTGTTAAAGTAACTATAATAAAAAAAAAAAAAAAAAAAAACAGAACTATGTTTCGTCAACTGTGTGCAAAGTTATTAGCAAATGAGCAGTTCGTGACCAAAACTGTGTATGCCAAGCATGTTTGATGACTTTTTGGATCCTAAACAAATCCGTGACAAACTTTCTAACATATACAGGGATGAGTTCCTAAGAACAAATTTAGTAAATTCAAACGTTGAAACCTTTCCACATTCCGTGCACAGAAATTCAAGATTCAGCATTAACAAAAATTATTAAGATTCTGAGAATCAATATTTTTTCTAAAATTTGTGACATACGACTAGTTTTCAAGGTTCTAAAATTATCAAAAATATTCAAAATGCCAGACTTTTCCTCAAAGTTCTTTTAGATCTCAGTCTTAATTTTTGGTATCCTGCACTATGGAAAAGCAAACAATTCCGAACTTGAAGAAATATTCAAGAATTTAAGAGAAATGTGCAAGATATCGGACTTAGAATGTTTATTATCAAAATTCGATTAATATTCATACAACATCATATTGTAAGGTTCCAATAAAATTTCCGTCCCTCTCCCGGTTGTTTTCGATTGCCGGTTAATTTGCGGTTTTCACAGTTCATGGAGGAATGAATCGAAAAGTGTGGTGCTCTCCCACTCAGCCTTAGCGGTCAATAATTTTACGCTCTGCTTCAGACATTGGAGGAGCGGAGGGCGTTCATCTTGGAAAGGTTCAGAGACACTTGGGTTAGCTATTAACCATAACCATAAAATAACAAAAAATCAGTAACTTCAGCTTGCTAGTCAACTGGAAGTGATCCTTAGCTGTCATTGCATAAAAGATACTAAAAGTGAATGTAACAGAACTAGAAATCTTGAAATCTTTAAGAAATTCGTTAACACTCCGCAGTTTGTACTATCATTTCTACTATGATTCATGACATTTGCTAAGTTTTAGACTACGACATTTTCGTTATCCTAGATTAAGAAAAAAAGACACACTAGGAAATTTTTCAATAATCTAGGGCTGAATAAAATACCCAACATGTGGGATTTTGAAACAATTTCAAGATCTTAGATTGAAAAAAAAAATCATTATTACGAACCCTAAAAAATATTAAGGGTTCTTACAGTTTATTAAATTTCATATAAAAGTCTTGCACGAATACCAAGAATTTTAAGTAGAACTAAAAAGAAATTAAGTGTTGAGGAGAAAGCTAAGAAATTTTATGGAATTCCTACCAGAATTCCAAGATAGTTCTAGGCTAAAGTCCTAAAGAAATCTGAGATAAATTCTAAGATATGTCTGGGAAGCAGAAAAGAATTCTTAGAAGAATTCCATACGAGTTGCGTTCAAACTGAATTGCTAGCTGCTTTTGAAAAGGATCGCATGATTGTGAGGAGAACAGAAGGCGAATTTTAGTTAACATTCCGAGTGTTCTGGTGAGAATTCAAGCACATTTAAAGAGTATTCAGAAGATAATTTCAAGGAAATTCAGATGTGAGTTCATGACAATAGATTAGAAACGAACATTATTTTTTACAATATTAAAATTCAACAACGGGGGAATAATTTCCAGATTTAACTTAGGCACGCCTATGCACATTTGATGTAGCATCCGGATCCGAACAGAAGAGAAATTCACAGTAAATGCATTCCTGGCTGTACCTCCTCCATCAAGGACCATCGTTGTACGGCTTCCGCTCCGTAGAAAGAATAGCAAGTGGCAAACCGGGCATAAATTGTTGAATAGCAAGTAAGTAGCGAAAACAGTAGATAACCGCGAAAACAGAAAATAACCACGACACTTGAATTTGTGTTGCCGGAAGCGGAAGCGAAGTACTTTGAAATTTTGGGCACCAATTTTACCCCATCAGTTCCTTTTTATAACATAAAATAACAATGCCATTTCTTTCTATCTGGAGCAGAAACATGAATTATCTTACCTGGTATGTGTTGTCGAAGCTGTCGTACATAAACCGGGTGATTAGCGAAGTTTTGCCAACTGTAAATAATAGAGAAAAGAAATGAGAAAACATGACAACAATGATATTCCGTAGATTGAGATAAAACTGGAGTATGATCAATAATGCGATTATCGCGGTCTGATGAAGGCGGGGAAGCTGGGAACAGTTGCGGTCGGTGCGTCAAAGGTGAGAACAATGAGGTTCATTATATCAGCCACCGGTGCTTGTGCTATCATCGTCGGTGCCACCTCCGTTACGGTATTCGTGGAAGGTTATAATAAGCGAAATTTTTCGGGCGTGTTGACACGTAATGAGAGCTTCTTACTGCTGGGAAAATAAGGTCACATAGACCTTGAACTAAGATGCAGGGATTGCGTTGAACCAACACAATCAAATAAAAAAAAAGTAATTTAATTTGATTTAGTGGCTTTAAAACGGGGGTGAACAGAGCAATGAACAATGCATTGCGTTTCTCGTCTTGCAGAGCCTAGAGTGCAATATGAGAAGAAGAAAGTTTCTGCAGAACAATGATGCATACTTGATTAGTTTGCATGGCTTCTTGGGTGGAAGATTTCTGCTGGTATTGTTTTATGATCATGATCTGGGTTCATGTTACCCGCTTTAAGAGTAATTAATTTATACAGTTCACGCTGTCTCCCGGAGAAAGATCACGAAAGTTTCAAGCTGAATAAAATGAGACTATTTCTGTTCGTGCTTGCTTCTACCGACAGTCTATGCAAAGTTTCATTCAAATCGAGATATGTTGATAAACTTAGTCTAGCCATGTAGCTCGCAAGGTCTCTCTGAGTCTTTGTATCGACCGAATTCGAGGCAAATGCGGGAATGTTGTCCGGAATTTTCACCTGTACATCGTCTCTTATCAAAGCGACTTTCGGGATACTAGGTTCGGCATAGAGATGTACCAGCTTCGTCAAAGCTGGATCTAAGCACGAAATGTCCCAACAACTTCTAGTGCTTGCAGTGCACAGTGGTCCAAACGGCGAAAAACGTGATCGTGTGAGATTACGCAAAATCCTTTGACTTTAGGTATATAGTGTCGTCAGAAAAGTTTTAAGGCATAATTGGCGCCATCTTTTGACGGTAGCCATTTTGTGATCAATCCTCCTAAAAGTGGGATCCAACACTCATTTTTTATAAAATTGAGATAGAAGGTTTGTTTATTCAGCAAAGTTGTACATTATGTAAATACAAACAACTTTGCTGAAAACATGAACCTTCTATCTGTTTGCTCAATTAATATATAAAGCGTTTTTTGTGAACGTGCCTCTTAAATCATATTTTGTTATCATAACTTTTTCTATGTAATTTTTACAGGTTTGCAATGTTCTAAGGACTTCTTTGTATTGTTAAAATACATGTTATTGTAGAACATTGTTTATCGCTATTTCCTATATACTTGGAGATATTTGGGATTTTTTAATAAAATTGGCCTATTTTTGAACTCAAATATTTCATGAGGTGGCAAATGGTGGCAGATTAAACAACTTACATTTGAAAGTACAACAAAAAATGCTGCAAAATCATGCCAGAGTTGTCTACATCGGACTACATCCGGAAAAGTTACAGCTGTTTTAAGAAGGGATCAAAATCAAATGTCTCCTATTAAATATTTGATCTCATTCGAATGGCAACATTCAGCTATTCAATTTTCTTTCCCGTAAGGATTGCCATGAATACAAAAAAAAAAGAAAAATACATCTCTTGAGTTAATGAAACACGAAACCAAATGTACAACCATTTCACACAGCAGTGATGCCATGTTTGCAAAAGATTAAATAGAGTTTGCTGCACCCATTGCAAAAAGCTATGACAGAATCATGTCGCCATACTTTTTCTGGTCGGTCTGTCAGTTTTTAAGATGATCACAAAACTGAGCGAAGATTTCCCAGCTGGAAAAAGTGCTCATTACCGAACCGCCATGTACTGGCAAGTTCACATCAACCCGACAGCACCTTCGGTGGCTCGTTTATAAGCAATATTTCTGTAGGGAAAGTGTTTTAGGTTGATCACAAACCACGTGTCGGCTACGTTTGTGGTGGTAAGAGAGCTGTCAGCAATCTCTATTGTTTAGATTTTTATTGGTTTAGTTTGATGTGTATAAAAAACATCTCACGCACACTTGTTCAATTATCTCCGATAGTACAATGCTCTTTGTAAAACCACGGCTTGAAGGTCACTTTGGAAGGAGCTTTCATCCGTAGTGCTCGGAAGTGTTTTTTGTGAAGTGCTCTAAGTTTTCTTAAATTCAGCCGAAACGAGGGGGGTGACTCTATCTAACATGTAGGACAATTTTTGCTTTGCTTTTGTGAGATGCGCGCACGCTTAATAGATAGAGAGAAGATTGATGACAATTTTGAAGATTTCCTGCAAAAAGGTGGAAAGCGATGTGAGTAGATGGATTTAGATGAAAGAGATGAAAAAAGGTTTTTCGTAGATAGATTCGCTGGGTGAGATTTTTTGACCATCTAAAATTGAAATTTGGATGTGTCGTACCCCCCTAGCCCAAATAACTTCTTAACTATCCGGTAAATATATTATAATGATATTCAGATATTTTCTTCTATTCTGGCGTTCAGCATAATTTGAATGCTTTCCAATAACATTAATATGGTAACACATTATTAACTTATATTATACTAAAATGCTCTATCAGTATCTGCAGGAGAAATGGATTATCGTCAGGTGTTTCTGCTTTGGAAAAATGCGGAAGGTGACAAAAAAACCAAATTGGGTTTTTTGGTTAAAGAAATAACACGATGTCTGGAAATAGATGCAGAACTGGTTGATGTTATGTCAGAGATTGAAAATTACTTGGATAACATTTGCAAATATTTCAGCCAGCTGTGACAGAAGCATAACTGCACAATGGCTAGAGTTCTGGAAAATAACGTTGCTTATTTTTACAAACCATTTTGTTTACCGCAACATATCCTTAAAAACATTCTATCAACGTCAAATGTTACACACAAAATAATTGAAGCGTTTGTCGAAACCTCAGACTGTGTGAAAAGACATAGAACAGCGGTGCTTCGCTCAGCTCATAATGCTGATGAGTTGACCTATGCTGCACAAATGTCATTGCGTTCAACTGGGCAAAATGATGCTGCTTCTATTGTCAAAGAAGCCACACAAACTTCCCCAACTCGTGCGACAAAAATTTTAAAATCCTGGAAATCATCGAAACTTCCGGAAATAGTTCCATTCTCTGACTCGAAAGCGTTAGCTTTGATTATTGAACAGGATTTGACAAAATCTCAATACATCAACATTCGAAAGGGTGCAAGATTGAGAAATGCGCAATTATATCAACAATCAATACGAAACTATCGATTTTAAAATGGCTCACTACTTGACTACCCTATTGGTCCCAAGCAACTCGATTAACGTACCCCATTCCAGTCGAAATTCTAGTACTGCACTATATTTGTTTTGATTCGCTATGAAAAGTTGACAGATAAAATGAGGGGTTCGTGGATTTTCTTATGTTTCAAGGGGTGCATCGATTAGCTTGGGACCGAAGATAGTACCAGAGCTGAGCTAAAAAGTTGAGCACGTTTCTTCGGGACCTTTTGGTCTTAGAGTTACCTCTATGATTATATCCTTCGTACCATAAGGTTTTAGCAGCAAAACAACAATGTTACCCTGATCAGGAATATATTCATGTTAGCGAAACTTTAATTGAAGTACAACTGCAACAACTCTTGGATCACACTACTTTACGGATTTTGCAATCTTCTGCAGATATAGTGAAAGAGCTTTCCGCCAATGAGCTTTTATTTACTGTATAAAAACGGCACGAAAACTAGTTCACCTGTATCCGCGGTTCTACTTGCCTGCCTATGTGCACAAAATCCTGTTCCATGGTTCGAGAATCATCAACCAATTTATGGTGCCCATTGGTCAACTTTCCTAGGAGGCACAAGAATCGATGAATAAAGTCATCCGACAGACACGAGCGTTCCATTCAAGGAAAATTTCTCGGGTGGCAACGAATACCGATCTGCTGCATCGATTGCTTGAGTTGTCTGATCCATTCATTACAATGGACAGGATTAGTACGTGCAAGCCAAATATGTTATTTTCTAATGATGCTCGATTCCTACTAGATATGAACGACTCAAGTACTGGGTCTGATTCTGACGATACTGATAGCGAATAAAGCAACATAAAAAGCGGGTTTGATTTTTTATTTTAAATCAAAAGAGAGTGTCATTAACGCAACATATCAATACAAGAATGTTCATAAAGCTTTGGAAAATGATCTAACGAAGAATTAGGATATTTATAAACATACCAGACAGATAGTCACAGTATCTCGATTGTCGCCTTTTGAATGAGATCAAATATTTAATAGGAGACATTTGATTTTGATCATTTCTTAAAACAGCTGTAACTTTTTCGGATGTACTCCTACAAACTCAGAGTGGTGCAAAAACACTAGTGCTACTCTCAAATACGGGAGTGCGTCCCTTATATTTGGAAGGAGAAAGAGTCAAAGAAGAGAGATATTTCATACCTAGGAGCAGCGTTGCCAGTATTCCAGATTTATCTGGATTTTCCAGATTTTTAGTCGTCTTGCCAGATACACTGACAGACCACGCATATTTCCAGATTTTTTTAAATATGTTCCAGATTTTTCCAGATTTTTTAAACATGTTGCTTTAAAAATATCACTGAAATTTATCTATCATCTAATCACAAACTAAAAAGCCACTCTTGTTACTTTGATTATTAAAGTTCATCAACGTTAGACATTATTGTAATTTTAAGGTAATTCTGAAAATAGTTTACAGTAAAGTGTAGGTTGAATTCCTTGTGAAATCAAACGAGAATTTCAAGCTAATTTTGAGTAGAGTTCCATCCATCTTTGTAGGCTCCGTAATAGTGTGATTTCATCCGTCGTTCAGGCGTATTGTGAGTGCCACGAAGTGAAGGCTTGATTCCCGCTCCAACTGGTGCAGAAGAGGATTTCAAAACAATTCTAACCTTACCTACAAAGCAGTTCAAAGAGAATTAT